TTTTAGGCTATGTTTGGGAGTGCTTAAAAATAAGTATTTATTTGAGCTATTAAGCACTTATTGGTATTTGGGAAATAAATCCGAAACAAGTGTTTATTTTAAAATTAAGAGCTTATTTTTTAAGCCCAAATTTCTAGTTTTTTTTAAGTGTTTATACAATAAGCACTTATTCAATTTTTTTCTTTTAAAATTATCCCTAGTTGAATTTTATAAAAACACTTTTATGAAAGCACTTTTATAAAAGTACTTTTATGAAAACACATTTAAGAAAGTATTTTTATGAAAGCATTTTTACAAAAAAATACTTTTATGAAAGCACTTTATAAAAATACTTTATAAAATACTTTCATAAAAATGTTTTTATAAAAATAATTTAATAAAAGTGCTTTCAAAGGGTATATTTTGAAAATTTAAAAGAAAATGAAGGATTAGATAATCACATAAGTGCTTATTAAAGAAAAAGACTACCAAACGTCCAATATAAAAGTTGGGTGCCAAATGCAAATAAGTGCTTATTCGAATAAACACCTGTTTTTAAACACTTATTTTTAACTTAAGCACTCTCAAACATAGCTAGTATTGGATTAAAAGACTAAAACCACTTGGCTCACAAAATTGAATTTCTCTTTGTTATTCTGATCTATCAACCCATTAATTAAGATTATACATCATCATCATCACTATTATTATTATTATTATTATTATTATTAAGCATCGGCTTATTGTTAGCAAGAAAAGGATACATTGGTACAGAATGTTGTGACTCACAGTCCTGGTGAGTTGACCTCTTTCTCAAATCTTGTTTTACAAGGTTGATACCCGCAATAATTCAGCGAACTAGCTTTTTGAAATGGGCCAGAATAATAATGGAAATGGGCCTTAAGCACTGGCCAAGACCCCGGCCTGTTTTGTCACTTCTCCATGGAGTGCCGTAAATCACATGAAGAGAGAGGCGTGCCAAGAAGGCTGTCTGCTGTTGAACCTTCATCATCTCATGGTACAGGTTGAAATGCCCTAACTTGTTCTTACATCCATTGCCCCATTATTGGTTAGCCTAGTCTCCCTACTAATCAATCATTATTGGTTAGCCTAGTCTCAGTTTGGAAGGAGTATAAATACAAATATCTAGATTGCAAAGCTTTGTATTTTATATTATATATATATACATTGTACATATTTATATTTATATTCTTTTCAAATTGAGCTTAAAATGTAATTGTCCATGTCAAATTTCTCTATCTTGTTTTCCAATTCTTTTAGAATTTTGTGTTTCATATGGAATTTTAAAAATAAAAATTTAAATATGGGGTTATTTAAGGTCCTGTTTGGTTTGCGGGAATAGGGACGGTTTGGTCGGGTGGATTCAGAATCTTATTCCTATTCCTGGTGAAGTGGCATTCCCCCATTTGAGGGAATAGTCATTCCTTCCCCCTCCGTTGGGAATGAAATCCCATTCCAGCTGAATCCAAGTTCCATTGTGATTCATGTTTGAACCAAATAGACTATGGGAATAGACCATTTTGACTCCGATTTCAACTGCAAACCAAACAGACTTTAGGGTCCATTTGGTTCATAATCTGAATTGGAATCGAAATCCTTCGGAATCGGAATTAGAATGATCCATTCCCATAGTTTGTTTGGTTTAGACAGAAATGGAAATGAGAATTAAAATCAGCAGGAATGAGATTTCATTCCCAAGAGAGAGGCAGCATTCCCTCAAATGCGGGAATGCCATTCCAACAGGAATGGAAATGGAATTCCGATTCCGCCCAACCAAACAGTTGGAATCAAAATAGCCAATTCCGATTCCGATTCCAAACTCCTATTCCTGCAAACCAAATGGACTCAATTCAGTTAAGCAACTGAATGCGATACGAGTATTTTTTTAATATCAGTCTATGCATCACATGGGTCTCTTATGTATATTTCTGTATGGCCTCAATTTTGAGTGACGGCATATGCTCCTCACAAATGGGTGCCTCACGTGCACATGCACCGTGCATTCGGTACATCTCCCATACGGAAAATGTTCTCAATGCATGATATGATGTGCGTGTGATGAACAGATCCGGTCTCCAATTTTGACATATCGATTAGTTCGATTCAATGATAGATGCCACGTGTGTTCAGATGGTGGGCTCCACCCAACCATCACCCCAACCACTTGGAAAGATGAATCTTGTACGTCTAGTTTTCCAAGTTGCAAGTATAGGGTTTGTTATGAAACAGTGATATGGGTAGGTAGTTAGAACTAGAACATGCGAACAATTTAACAAAAATTTTCTAAGCGGGACCACTTGGCATTGCTTAACCAACTTTTTTTTTTTCTAATCCGTTGATCCGGTTTCTGGCCAAAAACCATTAAATTGGTCATCAATTCATTAATTTGAGCAGTTGAACCATTGAGCGATTGACATATTTGGATGTTTTTTATAGAACCATCCAGGCAACCGGTTCTGTTTTGTCATAATCTCAGTCCCTGACCAAAATCGTTGAATCGGTCAACAACCCATTGATTCAGGTAGCCGAACCGTTAACCCATACAATGATTTTTGGTCATTTTTTTTAATTTTTGTTGTCAGAATGGGACATCCATTCGAATTGTCGACCCGAAAACTGGCGGCTAGGACGGTTCCATTTTTAGGTCGTATGAGTGACATGCTCGAATGACATAACACGTATGGTACTGCTTAATGGACCTCACACACTTGATTTTTTGCCTGCAATTTTTGTTGTTAGAACGGGTCATCCATTTTTTTTATTTTTTTATTGGGAACCGTCCAGGCAACCAGTTCCATTTTACCCCAATCCCAATCCCTGACCAAAAACTGTTGAATCAGTCAACAACCCATTGACCCAAGTGGTCAAACCGTCAACCCGTTGACCCATTCAATGGTTTTTGGCCTTTTTTTTTTAATTTTTGTTGTCAGAACATGTCATCTGTTCAAATCAGACGATTGAATTGTCGAATAGTCACACGCTCGAATGACATAACGTGTATGATACTACTCAATGGACCTCACACACTCGTTTTTTTGCCTGTAATTTTTGTTGTCAGAAGGGGTCGTTCATTTGAACCGGACGTTCGAACCGTCAACTCGAAAACCGGTGGCCATAACGGTTTCGTTTTTTGGGTCGTATGAATCACACACTCAAATGACATAACACATTTGATACTACTTAATGAACCTCACAAATTCAAATTTTTGCCCACAATTTTTATTGTTAGAGCAGACTGTCCATTCGAACCGAATGATTGAATCGTCGACCCGAAAATCGGTGGTCAGAACGGTTATGTAATTTTTTGCTTGTAATTTTTGTTGTCAGAATGGGCCATCCATTCGAATCGGATGGTCGAACCATCAGTTGTTAGAACGTTATTAACAATATTTATCAATAATAGTAATTAATTAAATAATCATTAATGATAGTTTTGATAAGATTATTTATTTATTTTTATTATAATAGTAATTATTAAATTTATGAATAGGATTTATTAACAATATCCATTAAATTAATAATTATCAAAATTAAATTAAATTAACAGTATTTATCAGTAATAGTCGGTAATTATAATATTTTATTAAATAATCAATAACAATACTTTTAATAATATTTTAAATTACTTTTAATATAACAATAATTACTAAATTTATTAACAGTATTTATAATTTTAATTTAAAGTAAAATTAAAATAAATATCTAATTATTAACAATAATTATAATAACAATAATTATTAATTATAATCACTAAATATATATTTATTAAATTACTGTAATAATCAGTAATTAATTACTGTAATAATCAGTAATTAATTACTGTAATAATTAAATTATTAAATTACTGTAATAATTATTCTCACGTAAAATCTACTCATACCGGTAGATTCCATTTCCTGGATGCAGAGAGAATCCATTTCATATTAATAGATATATAAGATATATAAGATAGCTGTATGTATTTATCCATCTCATGCTTTAAGCTTCTTTTCACCCTTACCCCTTACCACATGACCCACGCTCTTGACATCATTGGATAAGAGAGTTGAGTTTTATCAGAAGTCTATTTATATAAAGAGGCCCATATGAATCATTCATATGGATGAGTTGTAATTAGAATATTAGGTGCTCACACTTTTTTTCTCGCTACTGACTTTACAGCCTCATCCAGCAATGTACTTGTTCAAGGCATCCAATCATGAAACGAGCAAACTGGTTTTTTATTCTCCATTTATTATTAATTTAATTAATATAATCAGACCTGCTTAGGTGATGTGGCACGGATAGAAATGAGGTCCAAGGCTCATCACTTGCCAAGTGGCAAAGCCATCACAACGTCAATTCATTAAGCCTAACTAATAATATAAAACTGATAGCTATGGGGAAAGGTTGAACCGTTGAAGCATCAAAAGGCAAAAAGTCAACAGACAGATGAGCGGCTCCTTAATGATCGCAACTTCCCCATCAAGATCACCGGATAGAATATGGAATTGCTTTGCTAAAAACTAAAAAGAATTACGTACAGATTAGCGCAGGAATCTGTAGTTGGAATGTGAAAGATCAGACGGCGCGTGTACTATGCGCTGTGCGTAGACTCAAGAAGCGCCATGCCGCCATCACATTAGAAAACTCCAAATTCTTATACCCTTCATATTCTGTAGAATCTATACCCGCCAAATAGATGATGGTTTCGTGTGTTAAAGCAACCTCTCCTTAGCTGTTGCTAAAAGGCCCAAACCTTTTTTTTTTTTTAATTTTAAGATTAATTTTTTTGGTAGAAAATTTTAAGAATAAAGAGCAATTAAAAAAAAGCATTGCTTGTGCGTGCAGTTATGCTTGATAATAAAATAATTCCAGGGGTAAAAGTGGAATTTTACTATCACCAGATTCAGGGATACATTGAGAATAAAGTCGTCCCCTCCGACACATGTTGGGACCCATCAACTTGCAAGTGTTATTTAGACAGCTGATGGATCATCAAAACACAAGTGGACTGTCAGTTCTCGATACTTCATAGTTGGCACTTTTTTCTTGGTAGTTCATGGTCTAGGTTAGCTGGGGCCTGAGAGAAATTCTATTATTCTTCACATGGGTCTCAGATGGCTTACACATTCCTTCCCGCTCTGTTTCTAGTTTCTACTCTATTTTGTGATTCTTCTGCAGAGAGTTCGCTCCATCTTTACAGTAAACAGATAAAAATGAAAAAAAAAAGAATAAATAAAATAGAGAGAGAGAGAGAGAGAGAGAGACTTCGCTTTCTAGTCGTTCTTTTCCAGCAATGGATGGTCAGACTAAAAGCATAGCTTTTCTTACATTACTAGCGTCCCAAGACGAAGCAATTACGAGCCCTAGCTTTAAATGCCAACCTTTCTGCTACTCTGCTCCGTTCAGTGAAGATTTTATCTCGATCTCGACGTCATTGAATTCTGCTGGCAACTCTGTGTATTTTCTCTCCAATGCGCTGGAGGATAAGTTCCTGACCATGGACCTTGCCCGTTCCCGGGTTTTTCTGGATGGTAGGTTCAGGTAATCTAGTGATGGTGGATTTGGTTTCTTGGTTTTGAATTAGATGGCTTTCTGTTTTATTGGGCTGGAAAATTGGATACTTTCTTCTGCGTTACTGAGAAGAAAAACTGAAATGACGGCATAAGTGTCAAATCTGACTAGTTGAAACTGAAAATGTCATTTTGTTTTTCTGCTTGGACGTTGGATCAGAAGCCATGAATGGTCATTAGATGCTGAATTGTTTCAAATGCATCTATTAAGTTCATCAGTTCTATTTGAAGAATTTTGTCAATTTTGCATCCTTTTGATGAGTAATGCTTGTGAAACTCGCAATTTAATTTTTCTTAAACATGAAATTGGAACTAGCTTTTCCTTTTGTCCTTGTCAGGGATTTTGCATGATTACAGAATTTGGTAATAGAAATGATATTAAGTACTTATATTTTACAAACCCAATTCAAATTTCAGTTTAAGGACGGGGTTTTCTGGTAAATCTGGCACAAAAATTATATTTTGTCCTATTTTGTTTTTAATCATATAAATTACTTTTTCTTTCCTTTTCCTTTTCCTTGTTAAAATGGTCGTGTTAAATGTTTTAGGTTTCCTGTATTTCTGGTTGTTTTATCTTGTATCTAATCAATCATGTAACTGGAATCACATGTGGAGAGTGGTTTGGGTTTTGTCCACACTGCATTGATCTGTAAGTGCTGTTAATAAGTATCCCTCAAAGGATAGAATGCAGCATGGCTTTGTCTGAGCTTTTTCTTTATATTTCTTTATTTGTGATTTAGCAGAATTTCTTGTGACTTGTGAGTCCATCCTTCATCTTGTCTACAGAATACTTATTTTACTTCCACCTCCATATCTGCACTCCGTTCTGTGCTTTCTATCAGAAAAACTTTGGGTCATTGGGTTGATTTTGGCTTGATTTGATTGTGACAATTACATGCTCTGTGTGTTGTGCTATTGAGGACATTTAAGGCACCGAATGATTAGATCATAAGAAGTCTGTGAGCAGTACAAGATGGATGTGGCTTAGAGCATGGACGTTTTTACTTGCTGCAGCAAAATTAGGCAACTCTGAACACTTAGAGTTAGGTTTCGTATTTCTCTCCCTAGGTGGGAGATAGCAGAAGAGAAGTAGGCTAGGTGGATTTCATTTCATTTTATTTCCTTTACCCCTTATTGCAGAATTTCCACTTCTAGTCTTGTGGTCCAAGGTGGGATTTGATCCCTTGTCTCCACTAAAACCAGTCAGACACCTTACTAGCCTGAAAAGCCATCCTAGTTAGCCAAAATAAAAAAAAAAAAAAAACAAGGAAAACGAAGGCAACTAAAAAAGGTAGATATGAAACCTTATTATTGGCTGTTCCCCTACCCGTGCACATGAAAATATGTACTTGTAGGCCATTGAGATTCATAGGGTCTATTAGAGAGGTAGATAAAACTTATAAGTTTATTGAATATTGCCTTTGGGCTGTAGGTATTATCTTATTTCTTTGGCAATTTAAGCAGAAGTTAATTCTTGCCAGACTTGATATTTTGATTTGGTTCTTCATGATCTTCTTTACAGATTTTCAGGCACTGAAAAGCTTGTTTTAGACTTTATCCATATAAATGCACTTCGATTTACTGATTAAAAATTTGTAATGTGGCTTTCCAGATAATGAGGAAGATAGGCAGATGTTTTGCAATACTTTTGGATAAAAGACAATCTACTTGTGTTACAATGGGATAAAACATAAAATGCACTACTAGATCTAATCAAGCTTTTAGGAGTCAAAGGCGACATGGGAGGTATTTTGCATCTCTTTGAATTTAATCAGGGTAGGATGTCTCGGAAGTTTCTGGGGCATAATAGACACATTGATGGTAAGACTCTTTTTATTTATTTATTTATTTATGTATTTTCTTCCTGTGAATATGGTAATGTGCTTACCATTATTTTTTCTTTCCTTTCTTTAAAGCAGTTTTTTTTTTTTCTTTTCTTTGTGTGTGTGTGTATTGGGGGGGGGGGGTTGAATTTGAGGGAAAATGAGATGGGCTAAGGTTGCAAGTTTTAAGTCATGACTCAAAGTACCTTCACGCCATGTTATATTGGGCCCTTTACTAGATAATTTATTTGACTAAGAATTATGTCCCCAAATTTAAAGGCAACTAAGTTTTCATAACTATTATTTAAGGGTAAAAATGATAGACTCATTTTATTTGATCCATAAATAAATTAGAAAAGTGAAGAAGCCCCAACCAAGTTGCTACATCTTTGCTTAAAGTGATGGTACCTTGATTGAAGAAAGAACAGTACAGAAGTTCTTGCAATTAATAGAGTTGTACCTGCAAAAAAAGGTTTTGAAATGTAATGGTACTTGTACTTGTCTGCAGGTCTTGAAACCCCTCGAAACAGTTTGGATCTGCCACTAGAACCTTCACAGAGCTGTTCTACATCTGGAAACATACTGGTAATTTGTTCACTGTATGCTGTTGTACCATAGGTTTCTGAGACATAAAGCTGTACATTGTCTGAGTACTTTTATTTGTTCAATTCTCCTCTCATCTGTTGTTCTTAGTGTTGTATCTTATAAGTGCTAAGAAGTTTAAACTTTCTATGTGCTAGACCATACTGTTGGCTGACCCATACATGAGGCAAATGGGGATGGGTTGGATCTACATTGATGGTTTTAACTGTCTTAACTTATTGCATATTAGATAGAGAAAATTCAAAAATGTTGAGAGATAATACTAACTATTAACTCCCTCTTGTGCATGCACTCAAATTATTCTTTTACTCATATTAAGTATGCTTGGACTTTCAGTATTCATATCAAACGAAGCACAGCTCCTCCAGAAAGAATTGTTATCCAAGTAAGGCTTCCATGAAAAAATTGATTGATGAGGAGATTTCTAGAGGATCAGACACCAGAAGGAATGCGCCTAGTGTTGTGGCCCGTTTGATGGGGATGGATACACTACCATCAGACACAAAACCGACAACCCATGCAAAGGAGAAAAAGAACCAAAGTGATGAACAATTTGAAAATGGCTCAATTCGGCGCAGTGCTTTTGGCTCAAAATCCTTTAGGAAAACGGAGGTTGATTTCCTAACCCATTTTTGGGAAAGAGATCCTGACTTATCCAGCAGTGGTATGAAATATGGAAAACCACGGTCTCGGGAGCATCCTCAAGAGGATGAACTACAGAAATTCAAGAAAGAATTTGAAGCATGGCAAGCAGCCAGAGTTTGGGAACATCCAAAGGTTGTTGAACTTGGCAGAATTCCTGGGCAACGGCTTGCTGAAGAGAACCTGAACAAGGAAAGAAAGGCACTCTATACAGACTCTAGGAGTTTGATAGAAAATAATAAACTTGTAGAACCAAAATGTCATACTTCATTGGCAATAATAAAAGGAAGCTCACAAGAAAGAGGTGCATTACATCATCAAGGATATAAGAAAGAAACTTTCCCAGCTAACCAAATTGAATCTGCCACCTTAAGAAACAGAACAAAATCTATTCACTCTGAGCAGATCCCCCTAATGGATTGTGATCAGAAATTTGGTAAGACTTATGATAACAAACTGGGTAAGTCTTCTGTGCCAACAAGGATAGTGATCTTGAAGCCTGGCCCTGACAGGAATGGGGGTAGTGAAGATTCTTGTGCTGGTTCATCAGAAGCTGTTGAAGAGGAAGGCAGTATTGAAGACTTGCTTGAGGAAGTAAAGGAAAGATTGAGATGTGAAATTCAGGGGAAGAGTGCTAAAAGAGATACTGCAGTCAGAAGGGGTGGGATTTGGACCTCTTTCAGTGAAAAACAATCAGATCCAAAAGAAATTGCTTGGAGTATAGCACAACAGGTCAGAGAAAATGTTACTAAGGGCCTTGGGATAAATTTGCTACGATCAGAATCAACAAGATCCTACAGAAGTGAAGCTCAGGTGAATGGGCAAGGTTCTTCAGAGTTCATCAATAGAGACACCAGGAAATTCTTGTCTGAGAAGCTGAGGAATGTTGTAAAAGGAGAAACACCAATAGATTATCCCCCAAGTGTTGGTGGCTGCTCAAGAGCTTCTGCTTTAGGCAATGAGGAGATCAGACCAAGACCAACTGGAGGTGTTCTGCTGAGTGGGAATATTGGCGGTTGTTGGGAAGATTTGAGAGATAAGCCAGAAATTCAAACCCGATCTTTCAGACATGGGCATAAAAGTGATGCGATGCTCTATACAGGGGAGTTATCCCCAAGGAATCTCATCAGATCTTTGTCAGCTCCAGTTTCAGGAAATTCATTTGGGAAGCTTCTTTTAGAGGATCGACACATTTTAACTGGAGCCCAGATCAGGAGGAAGCATGAAGCCACTGAAAATGTTTCAGTGGAAATGAGAAAAAAGAGAAAAGAAAGGTTAAATTTCAGGGGTAAAGTCTCAAAACTTCGTTACAGTTTCACTCTTAGAGGTAAGTTATTTGGCAGGAAGATTCAAGCAGTGGAGGAATCTGGAAGCAATGAATCTGATTCTGTGAAGGATAATGGACCTACAGTTGTGATGAATCCTTGGAATGCACATGTAAGAATTATTCTATAGTTTACTTAATCTATGTACTTCTGCATAATTCTAGTGTCTGAGATTTTAAGTCGATAATTTTCTTTGTTTTATTTTCTCTTAATTAATAAATTCCCTGTTGTGGGGTTCTCAGGAAAACTTGACTGAGGTGCCACCTAGCCCTGCATCGGTGTGCAGCAGTGGGCATGAAGAGTTCTGTCAGCCTGTAGATCATCTAAGCCCAATTTCCACTTTGGATGTACCTTTGATAGAAGATTGCCCAATGCCACGGGTTTTTAGAGAGATCAGCTCTAATCTTCAAGGTAATTGGTCAGTAAGCACTTGCTAATGATCAATCAACTGATGGATGTGTTTATTTCTTAGGTCAGGACTTCTGTCAGCTTCTTCACAGCATCTTAGCTAAAGGGACACAACCAAATTAGGCCCTCCCAAATGGGGCCTACGACAAAATCCAGAGGCAGCATTACTCAGACAGCTATACTATTATGTTAAGCTAGGAAATCTTGCTGCTTTCGCCGAACAAACTTTTGTCATTACTTTCCTTAAACTGCCTGTATCAAACATTCCATAGAATAGATTGAAAAGATAGCACTTAAAATATAACAGGAATCTATGAAATAGCAGCTTCCTAAACACCAAGCAATTCCTGCTATTCCATAGTGGCATATAATTTGCGGGTAGTTAATTTCACCTTATGGGATCCCCGACACCAAAGTTGGTCTGCATGTCTTTAGGCAAACAGCAGCCCACAAAGGTAAAATATCATGGAAAAGAAGGAAGAGATCCAAGGTTGGGTGGTCTTCAATACCCAATCAGAAAGAAAAGATCTTTTCAGGTGGAAGACTGTTCCTTATTGGCTGACTTTGTTTCTTTGTGTAATTATATGCCACTTTGCCATCATCATCATTAACACCCACTTATGATCTGCTACATTAAGACTGTCTATTTTCCCGTTATGATCTGTCTATGGCCATTTAATCTATGTGTAGTATAATGCCACTTAATACAACTGCAAGTCTGGTATTGGGTACTCATATGCTTGTTGTTTTCTGTTTATGAATATACACAGAACTGAAGAAGCAGTTGAACCAACTTGATTCTGATGAGTCTGATGACACGCCGATCAGAGAGGGCCCCCCAGAAGCTGAAACACTGGAAATAGAAATAGAAGACGAAGCTGAAGCTTACATGAGAGATCTTCTAGTTGCTTCTGGTTTATATGATGGATCATTTGATTGCTTTTTTCCAAAATGGGACCCAACTGAAAAGCCCATTAGCAACTCCATATACGAGGAAGTAGAAGAGTCTTACAGAAGAAGAGCAAAAGGGAATGAAGAAGAAACCAAGGATCAGAACGAAAGTAAGGAAGATCATAAGCTGTTATTTGATCTGTTGAATGAAGCACTGGCAAAAATTCTTGGATCTTCATCAACAATATCCAGACTGAAGAGAAAGGTGCTTGGTCTCGCCACAGTATCATCTACTTGTGGAAGTAGAAAGAAATTATTGGATGCTGCATGGGAAATGGTCCGTATGTATGTACATCCTCCAATGGACGGATCATATTATTCGATCGATAGCGTGGTGGCCCGCGATATGGAGACAACCGTTTGGTCTGATATGATGCTTGATGATATTGATATAATAGTAAGAGAGATGTCATGGGTGAATCTGGGGGAGTTGATGGAGGAAACTGTGAAGGATATGTTATTATAATGGTGTGGTCTGTATTCTGTAGATTGAGTAGACCCACGATGGGCTGTGGCTGATGAACGTTCATTGCAGTAAGTGGTCGCAGCATTTTCTTGCGACCACTCAAAAAAGCGCGCGGGGGTGGTCGGGTCAGTGTTTTATTGGCGGGCGCTAGAAAATGCTGCGACCACGGTCTCAGCAGATTGAGCACACACTATTGAATTTTGTTTTAGTTGGGTTTAACAAACAAGAAGAAATTAAAGGAGCAGCACACAACTACATAAGCTTGGGGGTAGGCGTAGCGTGTCTAGTGTTCTCAATCTTCAAATGAAATTCGGTTGATTCTGAATTTGATTTTGGATGTTGTAATAGTCACTTAGTTTCTGCAATTTATTTTAACCTTTTAAGGCCACTCTGGAACGTTGATCATGTGCAGATATGATCATATGATCTGCGTTTGGATTTAACAAAACTCGTTTCATATTCTCTGCTAGCAATTTTCATGGTCCAGATGCCTGCAGCCTTCCTTACTTATTATCAAAAATAAAAAAATAAAAAAAATAAAAAGGATGCCTGCCTCACTTAGAAGAAAAAACGAAAGACATTACTTGTGCTTCCTTAAGATGCACAAGTAACACAGGTGCAGCCTTCACCACATCTGCAGAAAGCCTTGCCAGTACCGGCCTCTGCTTTGGTGCATGTACACGGGTTGCAGCCGCAGTGTGCACCGCAGGAGCAGCGCATATGCTGCATCTCTGGATCACCAGAACTTGCACTAGGATTACACCTGCTTCCATTTTTACAGCAACATCCCATGTTGTATGTTAGGTTGCTCATATAATAATGGTACAGAAGGAAAAAAGGAGAGAAAAACTGAGATGGCAAGAATGAAAACACGGACCTGCAAGATTGACCGCCGATGCATGGAGAAGGGCAGCCACACCTGTCGTTGCAACTTCCAACATTTACTCCTCCGTCGGCCATTTTCCTTCTTTCCCTTCAGAACGCTACCTGTTCCTCTCGTTCTATCTCAATCTCTCTACTGGTTTTTCTCGAGTACTTGCTTTGCTCTTTAAAACACACAGGCAAGACTCCTTGGATGGCCATCTTCACCCTTGTATGTTGCTACATGGCCCACATCGAGCAAAGTTACAATCCTATAGGATCTGCATCAACGTGGCAAGAACTTTTCATCCAGTTTTTGCCTCAACTGTCTCATAAGTAATCGTTCAAAGAGAAATTAGATAAAGTAGAGAAGAAATTTTCAAAGACTGTCATGGCGTCATATTCGAAGAGAAATGGGAAAGAATTTTTATCATAGAAAATCGGTTTTGGGCGGAAGAGGGACGGCAGCAGCGATTGAAAGCAAGTTAGGGGTCCATTTGGTATATTCTCGTAGTTTTGGAACTGGAATGGTCTATTCTTATTCTCTTTGGTTCAAATAGGAATTAGAATAGAAATTGGAATGATAATGGGATTTTCCCTCAAATGGGAGAATGCCATTCTACTAGGAATGATAATGGGATTTTGATTCTGCCCAACCAAACAGTTATAATTGGAATAGCTCATTCTGATTCCAATTCTAGACCTCTATTCCCGTGAACCAAATTGGACTTAAATAAAGAAATGAAAATAGGCCCAAACATGCTATATTTTACCAACCGAGGGCTGACTCGTTGGTGTGTTAGCTGATTTGTTCCAACATTGACACAGAATTAAATCCCACAACCAACACTTTGGGGAAAAAGGGGTCAAGGGGATGGTGCATAGCACCGAATATAAAAAAAAAGGGAAAATTCCACTTTAGTATTTTAAACTTTGGGATAGTGTCAAATTAGTATCTGGACTTTTAAATGTGTCACTGCAGTACCTAAACTTTCAAAAAATGTCAAGTTGGTCTCTGCCGTTAACCAATTGTCAGTTATCTATTGAAAATGTCAAAACTACTCTTCAAAAGAAGACACTATTCATTGTCTTCTACCTAGAACTGTTACAATAAACTGTGTTTTCTTTTGAAGGGTAGTTTTGATATTTTCAATATATAACTAATGGTCGGTTAACAGGAGGGACCAACTTGACACTTTTTGAAAGTTTAGGTACTGCAATAATACGTTTGAAAGTTTAGATACTAACTTAACACTACCCCCAAAATTCAGGGTACTAAGTGGAATTTTCCAAAAAAAAAAACATGTTATATTTTGGGCTGGGCTATGAATGATCAGATTTCAGACACGGGATTTGGCCTGGTCCTAGGCACGGCCCGTCCCAGTCCTCGGGCTGACGAAAGGGCCCAACTTGAATGGGCTCTAGTTGAGCATTTACTAAAATTCTAAGGATGGTTTAATGTAACTTTTCATTTGGTCTCTCTCTCTCCTGTAGGCTGTAGTAGAGAAATCTACAAGGGAAGAAGTGATCTTTGATTCCAAATCCAAAGCTCATACTCAAGGGCCACTTGACTCAGGGTTGCAATCCTTGGGTGGGCCCTCGTAAGTCGTAGCAGACCTGGCTCAAAAAACCAGGAACAATAGCTCCATTGTGCCTCACGGCCGGCAGAGTCCTCTGTAGGCTGTAGCCCTTAGCCAATTTTGGATACTGACATCTCCTTCACACTAGCGTCGAGTGGGAAAAAGTTCTCTCATCTATGATCATTCATTTTTATTCAAGGCCATCTGCTGGTAAAAATGAAGTTGAAGTAGAATCCACAGCAAAATTGGCGTAGACTAATCCAATTGAAGCAGTGAAGTGATTTGTAGCTTAACGTGTACCCCATTTTCTAGAACAAATAAATCTTTCTAATTATTGTTTTGAAGATTCAGGGCCCATGATCCTGTTAGGTACACCCAACTCACAAAAGAATACAAAAGAACCCATCATCGCTTTCTTGCTCATTCATGGCCCATTTGTTGCTTCTATTTCAATCGAAGCAACTGTAATACTGGGGTCAACTATATTCTTATGCAACGAAGAAAAACTCCCTCCCCCTTTGAATATTTCATTTCAAATGGTTCTATTTCTTCTCTTTCTTCTTTCTACCCAGTCTAGGACCGACAGCTAACTGCATCAACCGATAATTTGTAGATTCAATACAAGGAGGTTGGGCTGAGTAGGCAACCCATTTATGTGGAACTGGTTTCTCTTCTTTTAATGGGCTTGTAACTGAAACTTTGAAAGGGAAACTTTGCTTCCATTAATACTCAAGCTACCTCGATTAATACACATGCCAAGTAATCAACATGATTTGATGCCGAATGTCTTACTTCATTTTTGACCAGAGGAGAGAGGAGGTCGGTCGAATGTAGCACATGACATGCTCGACATTTCTTCTCCAAAAAAACAACTACTCAAACAACTCTACTGCGAGGGCGGCCCTTACTACGTTTTCAATCAATATTTTGTCTCACACCCTATTAGAAAGTCACAACTCGCAACCCTGCCTTGGAAAATCACACAAAGGTTAAAAAATGTGGGACCCATTTCTTAAATTCCTGAACATGAATACCTAATCACGGCATGTATATAATTATATATGATATTGATGAGACCACATGCAGCTTAGACTTAAGATAAGGGTCTCTCTCACATGCTTGAGATGGGGCCCCTCCGACTCGAAGTTTACTGGTTTCCTATATACTTCTTCCACATGGCTTACGGAGAATGTTTGGCTGGGTTTTTTTTTTTGATGATTCGTGTGTATTACACATTAATAAATATATGTTAGAGAATAAAAACTTATTCAAGGGTCTTGTCTTTTAGTTGGAATGGTTTATTGAGATGGTATTTGAGTTTATTTGACCAAATGGTCCTCATGAATCCATTGCTCTTCCTGCAATATGTCTAAAAAAGTTTCGAAATGCAACACTGGTTTACAAGAAATAAACCTAAACATACTTGTAGCAATAGAGTTGGGTATGGTTTCCTCCTCTTAAACGTCCCAAATTGCTACCAATGAATGTTCCTTGTTCTCTCTAGTTTTCTCCAATCTCCTTGCTCTCTTCATAGAGGAATACTCTAAATTCTTGCAAGTATGGGAGGGACCTAAAGAGCCCTTTACATAGAGTTTCCTCCTAACCCACACCTAATGAAATTTTAACATTTCCAAAAGAGCCAAACATGGCAATATTATTTTAATTGAAAAACAAAAAAGAACTAAGTGGATTACTTGTCATGTGCATGAAGCCTTTTTCCAAACAACCAAACTTTTTCCACAGAGTATTGAATCATTTTTTATGAGAAAAAAAAATAAAAAAGTGACCATTGAAATTTTGTCCAGTAATAAAGAAAAAGCATTCTTTTTTTTTTCTTTTTTATTTGGTTTGATGGGGCCATGGGGCTACAAAATGGGGATAGCCCATTTCTCATCCCCTTGATCCCCCAATCTTGGTGGTAGCGGAATTTGATCCCAACTCTCTACTACTACAACAAGTTAGAGGTCCTACCAACCAAGCCACCAAATCTATAAATCTATATTATATAAAGTAGATTATTGCCTTGGATTTTGAGTAAGTCATAAATCCAAATACCATATATCGTATATGGTTAATATTTACTTGTACACGTTAACAATATGCTCTTACACTAGCAATGCTACTAGTCTACTACTACTACTACTACCATATACCGTATATGGCCTTTACACTTTCACACAGCAAGGACTTGGCCTTTTTTGGGCTGGCAAATTGCAACTTGAGGTGGTTTTTCTATCATTTTTTCTTTTATTTCCTTTTTTGGCTCATCTTTTGGTAAATATGCATCGATTTATTCATTCATAAAACCAAAAAAATTTCGTGGAAAATGATGCCCTTTTTTCTTATTCTTTCTTTCACCTAAGGCAAAATCAACGGTGACCATATAAGTCTTCTATAAGCCTTCTTTGGGCTTTATAAGTAATTGATCTTCAAAATAACTTTATAAGTAGTTGGATTGAATGTCTTATTGCCTCGTCTTTTATTGAATTTGATAGTATGTAGGTTTTGAACTCTCCTAATAGCAGAATGACCTGAAGGAAAAGTTATCCATAATTTAGCGTTGTTAATAGGAACATTTATGTGTCAATTATAATTAATAGGAGCAACAATATTTTGGGTATATCCAAGCTAAATAGCATCAAGAATATTTCCTCATGAATGAAAACATACAAGTATGGGAGATGTGTTGAGATTCATGTATCAGTAGTATATAAAGAGAGTCCCATATTGGAAATGAATGAAAGGTGTAAGGGACTTATATACAAGAGTGGCCGGTAACTTAGGGGTTGTTTGGTATCGATGGCGTTTATAAGATAAATGTTTTGTACGATTGTTTTAAAAAACGAGAAAAAATATGTTTTAAACGTTTTGTACGATTTTTTTTTACACCTCAGCGCCATTAGGCCACTAGACACCATTAGGTGTCATATAAGGCAAACAGTGAAAAATCAGTCTTGAAAATGAAAAACGTCAAAATTGGTGTTTTTTATAAACGGTTCACACGATTTTCGAGAGATAAACAGCTCAACCAAATAGCTTTTTAGACATTTTTGTTAAACGCATCTACAATGTTGAGCTAGCACCATTTCTTTGAAAAGCTACATCGATACCAAATACCATCCTAATAACTTAAGCTTTTGGGTTGTATGTGTTGTTCTTTTCTTGTATGCAAGTCTTACATGTGTGTAAGTATATGAGCCCCTGGTTTTGACAACTCTCTTGGATGCACAATAGTGGTATCAGAGTTGAGGTTTGGTTGGGCATAAGTATTGACAGATGCATATGGTGATTCCCATGGCTTTTCATCTTCCCCATGGTTGAGTAATCGGCAAGAGCAGTTGATCTCCCATAATGTCTCCATCTATGGGAATGGTACTCCAATAGTTGGCTCCCCTAAGGTCATGAGCAAAGGACTCTTGGTTGGTGTGTTTCAAGCTTAGGAATATGATAATGGCTTTCGTTCGAGGGGGAGTATGGAGTTTCCAACATGGAAGACACTCATACTTGAGGGGAGATTGTTGGGTTTCAAGAGTGGTGTATGAAGAGAGTATCACATTAGAAAGAAATGAGAGGTATAAAAGACTTGTATACAAGAGTGGCTTATAACCCAATAACTTAAGTTTTTGAATTGTATGTGATGTCCCTCTCTTGTATGCAAACCCTATACATGTATATATATGAGCCCTCGGTTTTGGCAACTCCCCTATATGCACAACAAGATGTTCTCGATGTGCAGCAGCAACTGCTGTAAAGAGACATCTCCCCATGAATGAACATACAAGTATGGAAAAGTATGGGAAATGTTAATTTTTGATGTGCAACTGCACCGTATTTTGAAGAATAAATCCAAACTTTCTCTCTCATATAATCATATGATACATGGACATCGTTCTGCCTAGGACCTATAGGCCCTAGCCATGTGAGACACCATATAATGTTGATGATTCACTAGCATGATGGGTGATGAAAGAATCTCTCTCTCTCTGGGACAAAGTGACAAACTGGAATAGCATTTTGATAACCTCGTTGGTAGAAAAATGGCTAAAAATCCATTAAATTGAAGGAAAGAGGTGGCCTTTCATAATATGCTTGTCTAAAATAGAATGGCTGATGGATTAGTGGCCTGCAATAATATGGCGCTTAAGGTATGTTATCTTTTAGATCTCGGTCTTGCAGCTGTCCACGTGGTATAATATGGGAAATGGGAATAATGGCCTACTTTCACAATCATAAGCTTCTCTCTTTCGATTCCTTTTTGACTAACCAAACAGCCTTCACAACACAATTACTTTTCTAGTGCGGCACTATAAAACATTACTGTTTATATATTGAGTTATTCCAAATCACCATCAAACTATTACATTGAATGATGGTTGTTGGGTAAAAGTGCAAATGCAGAATTTATTTATTTTTTGTATTTTTACTTTCAAGATTAAAACAGGGAAAATTCTATTTTATTACATTGAACTTTGGGGATGGTGTCAAGTTAGTATCCAAATTTTCAAATGATCACTGTAATACTTAAAATTTCAAAAAGTGTCAACTTGGTCCATGCCGTTAACCGACTGATAGGTACTTACTGAAAATGTCAAAGTTACCCTTCAAAAGAAGATACTGTTTATTGTCTTCTACGGTTCAGTCTCAAGGTAGAAGATAATGAACAATATTTTCTTTTGAAAGGTAGTTTTGATATTTTCAACAAATAACTGATGATCAATTAATGGCAGAGACCAACTTGACACTTTTCGAAAGTTTAAGTACTGTAGTAACACGTTTGAAAGTTCGAATACTTACTTGACACCAATTCAATCTACAACAGTGTGGATGCCTTCTAAAAAACAATATAGTGTGGACTATATTGAGCTATACTTTAAAGAATACTCAAAACACTGTGGCTTGAATCAAAACTAAATGGTCTATGCTAATTTGGATTTGAGCCACATCACTGAATACTACCTAAATTTTATTTCCAAAAAATTGGTTGATATAAAACAAGTAGATTTCAATCTTGAAATTCGTGCTGATATCCATTGTAACCAGGGATTCAACTTGGGTGGGTTCAATGTTCATATTGGGAATTTGTCAAAATTTAAATGGGCTCCACCTGGAGCAGTGTAAAATTATTTTGTTAATGCAAAACTAAAGCTAATTTGCATAATTGCTTTTTTACCAAAATTGCAATTACATCAATAAATGTGCTTTTTCACTCTTACCAAATGCAACTGAACTAAATGGCTTCAAACATAAGTGGCAATGTTTCAGATTTGTAAATGTTACTCAATGTGTCGATTAAAAAAATGTAGCATTCAACACTTCAACAACTCATACCTATATAATTAGTTAATGATAAACTACATGCATTAGATCCATTATTTTACCTCCAAAAACTTATTGTATACCAAGATACCTTTCAATTTAAGCTAGTTTTTTCAACATTCCGCTTTCAATAGCCTATTTGAACAAGTACCAAACGACCCATAAGTCAACTTTGTAGCGGAATGATATTGACCTCACAAAGAAAAAAGAGCTAAAGGTTCCCATACAATTCTGGTGCTCGGTTACGATCTGAGTACACCAAAATTCCAGTCTATGTAATATAGCTGCATAGGCTAGTTGGTCCACAACTATATATTAAATATTTATTTATTTATTGTTACGTCAAATTGAGGTACAATTTCAAAGAATCTCAATTATTTTGGGCTTAGATTCGGGCCCATTGAGAAGTTAACAAGTGTTTAATGCAACCCAGCCCAAGTTGTACTCATAGTAGTAGCAGACCATCATAGGTAGGTCCCCAGTTCCTTTGACTAAAACAAAAATTAATACTCTACCATTATTTACCCACTGGCTAATGACTCCATACTCACTACCGGGATAATTGTTTTGTTTGATCCCCTATTTACATGGTAAAATTTCAAGCCTTTATGTTAATTCTTTAACTGATTTAGATTTTGATTGGTCTGGCTGCGTTTGTTTGTGGTGTAAAATGTTACTGTTGATTCGGTTTTGTTGGTAGTGTAAAACATCATCACCGTAAAATACCATTATTAGTTTAGTTTTGTCGACGTTTGGATGGAAATGAGGTTTGTATCGTAAATCCATGTGAAAATTACATCAATGCTCATGTTTTTCAACAGTTCAGAAAATTTCAAATGGTTCGGTGTAAAACTCTATCAATGAAATTTTACATCGATGATGTTTATACCGCAAACAAACACAACACTCTTTTGGATAAATCTGTGTTTTAACTTTAAATTGTGAAAAACAAAAATAAGCCAAATAATGTTTTTATCATTTAAAAAATTATTTTGAAAATATAATATTAGTCATAATTTTAGTACAATTCATAAGAATCAAATTTGATTATATAACATCAACTTATATCTTTATGTTCTAATTGCACATATACATAAAAATGTTTATGTGAAGGCTTAGTTTTAAGGGGTTTTTATTGTTTCAGTCCACCTCTGAAATCCTAGCTCCATCGTACAGTTGGGGATAGTTGCTAGCTCGGAATTGATGCCAATTCACGGATGGGTGTTATAGGTGGAGGTGTTCATAAATTTGAATTATCGTAGGTTTCCAGTTCAAATCTGAATTCTAAGGTGGAGTGCAGTCTAAAAATCCTAGTTTTAATTATACTAGTGTAATTATTTACCTTGATCGGCTTCACGTCAAGAATACCATTCCAAAGTTTTCAAGTCATTTACTTTTTTAGGTAAATTACAAAGATGCCTCTTGTACTATGGGGTTAGTGACAAAGTCCCCCTGTACTTTTTTTTTGCGACAAAAGCCCCCCTTCTGTTAATATTCTATTAATTAACTTTGAAAAAATTTTCATCCGATTGTTTAAAGTTTTTTAAATGTCCAAACTACTCCTTTTATAAGGTTCATTATCTTCTCCATTGGAGTTAGGTGAAATAGCATAAAAACAACAGTTTTGAAACATTCAATGGAAAACATTAACAGAATAAAGGGCACCCATTTTATGACAGATGGGAAAATGATGAATTAGAAGATTTAACCAGTCATAATCATGATATGTGAAGTGAAACTCAAAAAGAAGGAAAACATTTAGTGACCCACCAGACTAGATTTATATATTTTAACAGTTTCGCAAGTTAAATAAGTTTTAAGAGAAAAAGGGCAAGAAAAAGAAAATAAAAAAAGTTTAAAAGGGTATTTTTATAATTTAACACTTTTCTTGTCATCTTACTTAATGGTTAAGGGGGTTTTTGTTTAACGACTAAATTTCAAGAGGTCTTTGTCGCAAAAAAAGTACACGAGGAATTTGTCACTGGCCCTTAACACAAAGGGGTCTTTGTAATTTACCTTACTTCTTTTTTTCTTTGTCATCGCCACTCTTTTTGTACGTGCATTAATTTCAAACCTCGGCTTCACGTCAAGGAGGCCATCCCAACCATTTACTTTTTTTTTTATCGCCACTCTCTTTATGTACTTGCATTATTTCAAAGTTCAAACATGGCAGACAGTGGCAGTCCCATCGTATCCACCGCATAGAGATTAGAGAGAGAAAGAGGGAAAGGGAGAATCACTGAGAGAACGACAGTTGGAGAGAGAAAGAGAAGGAGGAATTATAAATTCCCCTCCAAAACGGAAAGCGTGTTTTCTGTGTCTCGTCCCGTTCAACCTACTTTACCGCACCGTCCCCGATATTTTGTGATTTTTTTTGGGTGGACAAAGACGATATATTCCGGTATGAGTTTATATCCTTTACCCTTTTAAAATCTCATAATTTTTGTGGGGTTGCCTGGTTGCTTTTGTGATGATTCATTGCAAAAATTCTACCGCTTTAGGAGTATGTAAACGAATCAACGGCTGCTGATTCATCCGGTCACCCCAATTCTGGATCTCCATCTCTGGTGGGGATTGAGGAATAGAATATCCATCAAAAAATACAAGTGATAAGGACTAATGAGCCGTATGCTACCATGCGCGTGTGTGTCACTCCATGGCAAAATACGCATCTTGCATGGATTAACTTCTCTATTATACGGTTATACCTTATTTATGCTTCATTTTGTTTGGGTTTCTCACTCGTTTCTGCTCCTCTTTTACGGTTTCAATTGGTTTTTGTCTTCAGCAGCTGCTCAATTCTGTTTCAGTGAGTGAGTGAGAGAGAGAGAGAGAGAGAGAGAACAAAATGAAGAGTTTGCAGTGATGGGTACGGTAAGAAATGCTGTAGAAGGGGAAGAGAAGGTAAGGATAATGGAGTGGGAGAAACAAGAGCAGCAGCAGCAGCAGCCGCAGCAACAGCAAAATGCTGGGGTGATGTACGTGAAAGTTATGACAGATGAGCAGATGGAGCTGCTTCGGAAACAAATCTCTATTTACGCTACCATTTGTGAGCAGCTCGTCGAGATGCACAAAGCCATTACTGCTCAGCAGGATCTCGCTGGTACTCTCTCCCTCTCCTAAATACGTCTGTGTTAGTAGTGATGATGATTTGTAATCTTCTTTATTTTTGTTATGGTTTTTGCTATTGATTTACTTTGATTACTTCTCCATTTTACTTGGATTCCTCATTTTTCAGATCACTTTTCCTTATAATCAGAATATTTCTGTACTGGCTTATTTTTCATATATTCATTTACTTATTTCAGTTACGATTCGAGATGGATTTTTGTTTTATTGATGTTGTTTACTTTCGTTTTATTGCTTACCGGATTATACTAGAGTCGTAGCGAATGTACGTTTTGTTTGCAGAAGCGGTTTTAGTTGAATTGGATAACATTTGAGGGGAAAACATGTTTAAACCATAATTTGTCCAATCCTGAAATCCAGTTATTTCCCATTCGGTTGAAATGAATGTCTCTGGTTGATTCGTTACTGCTTTGAAGGGAAATTGTTTAAGGACCTTGTTTTGATTAATATGTATTTGAGTTTCTAACACGGGTTCTAACTTTTTTTTTTTGGATAATTAACACGGGTGCTAATTTGTCCAAAACCATTCGGAATGATTTTGGTGTTGTTTGAAGGGCTGAAATCTAGTTAACATTTTCCCGTCATCATCACTTTTTCTTTTCATTTCTTTTCTTTTTAGGTTGGTCTTGTCGTAAAATCAACATAAATGTGCAAATTCAAGGGTGTATTCCGGATTGTCATCAGATCAATTTACTAACTAAAACTCCTTTTGATTTTATCAATTAACTTGTTATTTGGATTTTGGTACACAAGGGAATGTGGAAAAAACCTGTTCTAAACATAAGAAGGAAATGGCCACATCCAGGTTTGAAAGCAAACTTGGAAGCCAACATATATAATATTTCATATCACCATTAACTTAAGCTACTAGCTTAACATCAATCGATTATTCTTCATTACAAACAATGTAGCCACAGCAAATCGGAAAAGTTCATAATAAAATGCATAAAGTATCAATCAAGTGGACTGTCCAGCATTCGATCAATTGGACTAGTCTTATCTTACCTGTCACTGGTCATTCTCAAGTAACCATCGTCCCCTGAACTGCTGGTGACTAGTTGTCTAATTGGGTTCTAAATTGGTTAAGCACCTAACTAGGTGGCTAGTTGACTACACAGGTCGGTCTCATGTATAATCACACGAGGCATGTGCAAATTTTCCTTTTGATGTTGTATGGTAATTGCCATATTTGATGTACAACTTATTTCCACCTATACTAGGACCATTTGAGTTACCTCTTAGAACTGATTTGGATATTTAATTAGATTATTTATTTGATCGTCTCTTATAAACTCTGACCATAAATATTCTCAATCAGTATTCCAAAGAACTATATTTCCACCCTTGATGCCTATTGTGGAAAAAAAGAAGATGACATTTATAGTAAATTCTGGGTACATTGTAAGTGATCTGTAGCCCTCCTTATGTTTTATTAGTTATGTGGAATAGTTAATTTAGTTTGGAAGAGAACAAAAGGATAGGGAGTTTTCCTGAAAATGTAGAAGTAGATCACAGAGCTGACAAACATTGTGATGGAGTTGGTGACTGATGGATTGTTGGTGGGAGTTCCTCTGTGTGAATACCAACTGCTCTCCTCATCTGGTGCATACCAAAAACAAAACTTTTCCTAATTTCTTATTAGAGAAAAGAATGACTGTTATTACTCATGACTGAGTTCACCCATATTTATTTATGTTCCCCATCTATAACTGATTGAGCAATTTCTTTTTCTTTTACTTAAATTTTATTATTACACTCCAGAGAAAGCTTGTTTTGGTCATCAGGAATACAATCTTGCATATGTCAAAGAAAGACAGTACTTAAAAATACTAGGGCAATGCTCTTCCCTCTCATTTCATTTCATTCTTCAACATTGGTCATTCCTTCATTAGTTGTTTAGTCATTTCGTGATTATTAAACATATGTATTCTTGCAACAGTTGGGAAAACTTCAGAATATTTGAGTTCTCTTTTACGTTTATTGAGTTGTATTGGTTAAATTCCTTCTTTAGAGTTTGAGAAAGAAATATCTCATTGGCTTCTTCCTTTAAAATTCAATGCATGATCTTGTGTATCATCTTCACCTAGATAATTAAATGTATGACAATTTTCCACTTTTGGCGATTCTAAATGTACAACTTCCTTATATTCACTAGCATTTCTTTTTTGCCCCCTCCTCTATAAAACTTTTTCAGGACTTTCAAAGGGAAAAATGAGAGAATAGTTTGATGTAGTCAAATCAAGTTTTTGAATTTTGAACCACAATCTTCATAATCTATGATTTCTCTAAGTATTCTGACTTCCAATTATGACCCTCTAATTTACTTTAGTTATTGATCAACCCCATGAATGATTAAGTTTCGATTCTATGCTTTATCAAATTTCCTCTGGATAAGGAAAAAAGAATATTCACCAATAATTTGCGATATTGGTAGGCTGACAAGCATGCTGCACTTGCCTTTTCAGGAATGAGGCTGGGAAATCTATATTGTGACCCACTGATGGCATCATCTGGACACAAAATAACTGCAAGGCAGCGATGGACTCCTACACCCATCCAGCTCCAAATTCTTGAACGTATCTTTGATCAAGGCAATGGGACTCCCAGCAAGCAGAAGATCAAAGAGATAACTTCTGAGTTGACACAACATGGACAGATTTCTGAAACAAATGTTTATAACTGGTTCCAGAACAGGAGGGCTAGATCAAAAAGGAAGCAACAGGTTTCGATACCAAATAATGCGGAATCGGAAGTGGAGACAGAGGTAGAGTCCCCAAAGGAAAAGAAGACAAAGCCAGAGAACATTCACTTTCATGAGAATCAAGCTCAAAAGGCTGAGGACCTATGCTTCCAAAGTGCTGAGATAAGCTCTGAACTGCACTCCTTAGATCCACATCCAACTAAAATGGAGGCCACGTTCCCATTGGATGGTACTTCAAAATCTTCTGGCAGTTTGACCCACATGTCTTTCTATGAGAGTGTGCTATCTAACCCAATTATGTATTGGCATAACTTTCATTCCAAAGAACAATGAGAATAAATAAAAAGGATTAAGGTAGTTATTGGTAAAGACCTATTTTCCACCCACCTAGACAACATGACTTCTCACTTTTATTTATAGAACAAAGTGCCATCATGTAATCTGCTATCCTATCATTATAAGAGAAACATTGGAAAATATAACTTCTGTAGTTTGATAATGGTAGTTTGTTTCTTTTGGTTCTTTCTAACAGTTACATGGTAGTTTGATAAGCTCTGAACTGCACTCCATCTTTTGATGTTATGGTTATAAATATTAAATGGTGCAAAGATATCTTGTTTTTTATTTTGTGTTAATTCACCTTCCCCTATAATTATGTTTCACATTTAACTCTTACCATCTCACTGCATGATGCTTGTGTGAAGTATCTAATTCATCTGCCTTTCGTATGAGACCAACATGCCCAACCATCAGTTCACTTTATGATACAAGCCTCTTTCTTGATCCACTAACAAGCCCATTATGAAATAGATTGTCTCCTCTAATTTGAGCATGTTTTTTCTCCTGGGTTCAGCTCATCATTGAGCAATTCAGAGTGACTCAAGTGTGCACCAGATGGTTGGACTCCGGGCATAACAATATGGTTCCAAAGGAATGCTTTTTCTCCTGTTATGTGAATGTAAATGTTTTAATTTTTTTTTTTTTTTTTTGTAATTTTCAGAGGCTAAAGGAGTGATCTTACTTCTGGCATGACTATGAATGCAGGGATTGATCACCTGATTAGAAAAATGGAAGTCCCAGGGAGCTACAATCCTTATCGACAGGGGGAAGGCTACAATATGATTGGGTGATGCTTTTCTCATCCATAGTCTTCTTTAATCAAAAACAGGCAGGGCGATATTTTGTCATAAAGTTATGCAGCAATTAGAATCCAGGTCCATGACTGTTTGATAATAGTGGACTTGGTAACAGTTGAAAAACAGAACATTTAATTGTGAAAATATATGAATCATACATAACATAGTTAACATTTACCATCATACAGAGAAGTTAGATTTAGCAGGACTTTTTTTTGAAAGACTTGAGAGTCATGGATTCACAATCAAACTCCAAAAAACTGGGTCATTTGGACGAACAAGTTTCAGTAAGGGAATATATGTGCTACTTAACCAGCTTGATATACACGTAGTGCTAATTTATAATTGATCATTGAACTTTTGATTTATCTGTTGTTCATGTTAATTGTGTTTATATGTCATGAACATTAAGGGGTGTGATCGTGTTGTGTGGAGTTCTCAGACGTTTTGATATTGAACAGACATGCTCCGGAAAGGGAGCTTTAAGCTTTGTACTCTGTATATTTTCTTGCTATTAGTCAAATACTATTGGAGTTGGATTGTAATGTTTTATATACTTATTTGGTCTGCATTTTTCCTTCATCGTTTCCCAGTCTGCGGGTACTGAAATTAGACTGAACTTAAGGCAAATAAAATTATAAAAACCATGCATTCGTGCCGCTATTCTACTGTCTTTTTGTTTCTTTTAATTGGGCACCGTAACTATTAAAATAAGAAATATATAGACTATAGAGTACAAGAGACAAGGGAAAATACAAAAATAAATAAGTAACCACCCACAGGTGCCACCAGGACTGTAAAGCCAAATCTCTGGCATAAAATAAAGCTTATTATAAGAAAGAGCCCGGATCTCTCCATCAAAGTTCAAATAAAAGCTGTGGGAACACGATGAGAGCAGGGCATCCAACTGCATATCAGGAATATCTCCCGAACTTAGTATATTAAATTTATTGGGTGATGTTTGCATTGTGTGGCTGGGTGTTGTGCTCTTTTTTTTTTTTTTAAGGCTTAAAACATATTTCATTTATTTAAGAAATTGATACAAGTACATACTTGCCAAAAAGGCCAATCAGAACCCAAATACAATTTCTCATGAAAAACAAAATATAGAAATGGATATAGGAGAAACAAAGTTGAAAAATCACCAAAAGAAGTAGAAAAGCACAAAAGAGGTTCCCAAAAGAGATTGCAAAGAGCGGGTAATAGCATGATTGGGGTAGATTCACAAAAGATGACAGAGCCCCAAACATTACAACCAATATTAGATACTGTAACTGCTTTTCATAATGGCACTCGCTGGAGAATTGCGAATAAAACTTGATGTAGCGCAATCCGGCTGTTCCCTGCAGGAGATGATCTGGCTACCAGTAACGACGGGCTCGATGAACCTGCAAGAGATGAATCAAAGAACCCGAGGTGGCTTACCCGGCGAGATCACTCCGATGCTTAAGTTAGCACTTGGTTGCTAGCTGAAAATGATATTAGATTGCAAGAGAGCTAGAGAGCAAAGATTACGCTTCTTTTTTCCCCTTTTCCCCCTTTTTCACCCCTCGGGGGTGAAGCCTTTATATACTTGAGTCATTGCGGGTTTGATGGAGTAATTCCAGGATTCTTGCTACGACAAGATCAGTTTCCGTGTTAGTTGGGGATAACGCTACCAACCAGTAAGGCTGACCATTTCTGCCTGAATCGGGGTTAGCCGTTACGGGGTACGACCCCGTAAGACACGGAGTACAGTGACGAGATCTCCGGGGTTTCCATGTGGTGGTCGGTCAGCATTGCCTGAGCTCGTGCTCTTTAGATCCGACCTGATATGAGTGCCGAAGTGCCTTGGGACCGAGGTGGTCCTGATGTGACCTTGCACCGAGGTATACTCGTCCCGAAGTAAACTTGTCCCGAGGTGGTCTAGTTATCCGAGCTCGATCTGTTGCAGACTTGGCGTGTCAGGCTGAGCTGTTGTCCTGCTAGTTAGGTCGTTAGTTCAGCATAAAGGTTGGTCGCCAGATAATTGTTGCTTAAGTGATTTCGAGTGTCACCCAGTTGTTCTGAGGTGCCACGTATCATAATGTCATTGGAGGGCCAAATCCGCCCTCATTAGAACTGATCATGAATTGTTTATGCCGGAGAACTGCAATCGGATTTAACCATGAACGGCAAAATGAAAAGCAACACCCACTGGTATCAAAAGCCCAATACAGGATCCAAGTTTAAGTGACCCCCCTTGTTAAAACGCATGCAAAAAGAAAAAAAACAAAAGAAATCCGGAGGGAATCACCCCAACAGGGAGATTGATAGAACCTCAAGCAACGCGAGAGAGAAACTCTCTCTAAACAGAGAGATCTGGGAGTGGTTGTGCGACTTGCAGAGAGGGAGTGGTTTCAGAGTGGTTATGCTCTCAATTGTTTATATATATTAGGAACATTTCACTATGAATTTAACAGACATGTGTTTGTGCAGAGTTTTTGATTGCAGGAGATTCGGTCTCCCATGCCCTATTATGCTTGTAGTAAAATAAACAGCAGCAAGAAGATGAAGCAAAAACATGAAAGCCCTAAGTATCCAATCTTCACCACTAGAAAGTAGAAACCACCCCTTTGGATAGGACGCATCAAGCAACAGAAACATAAAGAGTGGAACTTGCTTCCCCTGTGTCTTCTCCCCTTCTCCTTTTATGCTTTTTCCTCTCCCTAGATCTCCTTTCTTCTACTCCTCAGCGGTGGAGTTAAGTATTCATTGGAAATGCTCAGAGTACAGTGCAAGAAACATAGATTGGGTTAGGGTTACAATTGGGATTGCGGTTCAAGCATACAACAACTCAGGTTGGGCCAGAGTTGACCTCAACCGGACCTAACCTGGACCACTTGCACCGTATTCCTGGATGTTTATACCCATCTCTGCAAGCAAAAACTGTACACACTCTTAAGTTCGGGCATTTATAAGCATCCAATCACACGTTTGGGTATTTAGTGAAGACTATTCACAAATTAGTACGAATTGAGATTTTCTGTCAACAAAACACGCTCCAACTCACTATTAACTTGATCATCATGAGATTGGGCCACGCCATAAAAGTGGAATACGCCATATATCAGATTTGCGGTGGTAGAGGGTTGGAACGCGTTTTGGACTCCATTATTACTACAGAACAATAATGCCCTGTATTGGAACATTGGGAGATATTCCCAATGTGCCATGGGTAGAGATGGAGGAACAACCTGTGGGCAGCAGATCCGAACCTATTTATATCGTGTGTGTGTTTGTGCACAGAGTTTTTGTTTGCAGGAGATCCGGCTCACGGCTGACCGGCCGCCGAAGCCCGAGTCTCGACAGAAAAATTGATTGGTTTGTCTCCTCGTACAGTCGTATGTATGCTATCAAGTGAAAATAAAACGAGGTCGACCGATTTTGCGACTTGCACTGCACCCCCATCTCAAATGGCGTTTCGAAGCAGACGATTTGTTGGGTTTCTGGCGCTTCTCAACGGGACCAGGTACCATTCATCGTCCTCTTCACTTTGGTCAGTTTCATTCTCCCCATTTTCAACACTAGAATTTCGAGACAAGTACACGAATTGCGAACCACCAGATAACCGGATTAAACGCTACTCTAGTCTCGACGAAAAATTCGTGTTGGACCAGCTCTCTGATTTGCTACCTATCTCTCCCAAAACATCAAGCTACTCTCGGTATATCGAGAATTCATCCGGAAAACATATCGAAACCAAGGCGGTCGATGGCTTTTTATCACCTGAAGAGAAACTGAGAGGGGTTTTCCTTCAGAAATTAAGAGGCAAAGCTGCAATTGAATCTGCCCTGATGGCTACCGGAGTCAATTTGAATGTAGAAATACTTGCAGGAGTACTGAATAGAGGGAATTTAGGCGGAGAGGCAATGGTTACCTTCTTTAACTGGGCCCTCAAGCAGCCCCAGGTACCGAAAGACCTTCAGACTTACCATATAATTCTTAGGGCATTGGGAAGAAGAAAATTCTTCAATTTCATGGAAGAAATCTTGCATGAAATGAGCAAGCAAGGAATGACACCTACTTGTGAAACCCTGTCCACTGCAATGGATAGCTTTGTTAGAGCTCGTAGAGTGTCAAAAGCTGTCCAAATGTTTGGAAGATTAGAAGAGTTTGCGTCTAAACCTGATACCGAGTCTTTTAATGTGCTTCTGCGCTGTCTATGCCAAAGATCCCATATTGGAACTGCGCACTCACTCTTCCATGAAAAGAAAGGGAAAATACCCTTTAATATTACTAGTTACAATGTTATTATCGGTGGGTGGTCGAGATTAGGTAGAGTCAGTGAAGTAGAGGGGTTTTTGAAAGCAATGGTAGTGGATGGATTAACTCCCGACTGCTGGACTTTTAGTTACCTTCTTGAGTGTTTAGGTAGAGCTGGTCGAGTTGATGATGCTGTTGGGGTATTTGAAATGATGGAGGAGCAAGGCTGTGCACCAGACACTGTTGCATACAATGCAATGATTTCCAATTTTATTTCAGTTGGAGATTTGGATGAATGTGTGAGATATTATGAGAGTATGTTGGCAAAGAAATGTGCACCAGATTTAGATACTTACACCAAATTGATTCATGGCTTTCTCAAGGCTCGAAGAGTAGCTGATGCACTTGAAATGTTTGATGAAATGTTAGGCAGAGGGATCCTTCCAAATATGGGGACAATTTCATCTTTTATTGAACCTTTGTGCAACTTTGGTCCACCTCATGCTGCTATGATGATGTACAAGGGAGCAAGAAAAGCAGGATGTAGAATATCGCTGAAAGTTTATAAGTTGTTGCTCATGAGACTTTCCAGATTTGGTAAATGTGGAATGATTTTGAAACTCTGGGATGAGATGCAAGAGAGTGGCCATTCTTCTGATTCTGAGATTTATGAATATGTCATTAATGGTCTTTGTAATATAGGGCAGCTGGAAGCTTCTGTGCTTGTCATGGAGGAGTTATTGAGTAAAGGATTTTGCCCCAGTAGGGTTATCTATAGCAAATTGAATAATAAGTTAATGAATGCAAATAAAGTAGAGAGGGCATACAGGCTCTTTTTGAAGGTTAAGGATGCTCGGTGCAGTGAAAATGCACGGAAATTTTGGCGTGCTAATGGCTGGCACTTTTAAGTGTGTGCTTTTATCAGATGAAGGTGGTAAAAGGTTCATCAATCATCAGCCTTGTGTACATTTTGCTTACAACTATCTTATTATATCTATTCATGTTATTGTACTACTACCTGTAGCTAACTATTACCTATTCTATCTAAAGATATTGTTAAGGTTATTTGAAATACTAAATGTAAGACAATGTAATAAGTTGATGAAGTTGTTTATTCTCTTCTTGGATGCAGGTAGTGCCAAAGGGTTATCTCTGATGTCTTGTTGTCTTCTCCAATTTAGAAATGGCTGATATTTCTTTTTCCAATGAGAGATATACATATATTCATGATATCCACAAAGGATCTATTCAAGCAATTGATAATCATCATATTGTTGTCCGGAAGAGCAATGCAAGAGGGTTCCTACTGCACATTTGTATCCTTACCTTTCTGGCAATTGCTTGTTATCTTTTCCTATTAAAGGTAGTTACTGGGTCTCACTTTGCTTCATTTACTTCCATCACCCTTGTTACATTTCATGGTCGTGGTGCATTTTTATTTGGCTGGAGTATTGCCTTAAGTAATATCATCAGTTCATCACAATTTAGTGAAGACAATATTTGGATTGCTCTTACAGGAGAACATGGACCAGCCTCTACCTGAACTTGAAAGAGTCATTCTGACCTTTTGGCCAGTTTCGACTATCAATTTGTGACACAGGTTGCACTTAGTTGAAAGTCTCATAGCTTGGGTTTGGAAATCATACCCAACCATAATGCTGCAATCTATACATGCAATCTTAAATACTCATACATATATGCATAACAAAATTATGTGTTTTTAGCTTCTGAAAAATTGTAACCAATCCCAACCTTTTGGAAGTTAAGAAACCAAACTTAGCATGGGTTGGGGAATCACCATCTAGGGTTGGGTCCAGGTTGGTTTTGTGATATAAGACAAGCTATTTTGTACCAATTGATGTAGGACCAACTATGAGTCAAGGGTGAGCCTACAAAGGTAAAACTGGGCTAAGAAAGGTCTAGGAATGATTTTAAGACTACAGGTAGGGGTTAGGAGAGATTAGAAAAGTCAATAGGGGTTAAAAAGGGATGAAAATTTTTATGGAAGTTTCTAGAGATGTTTGGAATGGTGGATTATGTGGGGCAATTTGATTCGAAACCTTCTGGGTAGGTTTTTAATAAAGCGACTAAAATACCCTTTGTAAGAGGAACTGCCAAGTTCTAGAAATTAGGGTTTAGATGGAGTTTTGGGATGAAATTTGATGGGAAGAAAGCTAATGAAAATCTGTAGCAGCATCTAAATATGTGAACAATCAAAAATAGCTTCACACAAAAAGAACAAAATTGACCAAAATGAGGAGTTTTGTGGGTATTAACATAATGAAAAATGTATTTGGATCAGTTTCAATCTTTTTGGGATTAGAATTGGATGAACTCCTTTAGTAAAGAATTTGTGGGCTGTTGATGGTGTGAATGTTTTCTTGCAATATTAAAGATAGCAAGAGAAAGAGAAAATTTGGAGATACTCAATGAGGACCTCTTGGGCATAGGAGCCATTCACAATTCTTAGCATAAACTATAAGATTTCCAATAAACTCGACTAATTGATGTCTAAAACGTTCATACATATTTATAGACTTTAGACCAATAAAAATCCTAATAAAATTGAGAAAATATAAAATAATAGAATCCATTATTCTACTTTAATTCAAGGTATACTCAACAACTCCTAAACTACTTATTCAATGACTCAGACCCTCAAAGATGAAGCAATTATAACTATAGAAACCAGACCATGATCAGACCATACAGATTGTGAAATGGCAAACATACCCCCGGTTTCAAGTTCAGCTCAAATCCTGAGTACCATCATTAATCCATTTCAGCACCTCTTCCAATCCTGCCTGTCAGAATTGCAACTGTAATTTATTTTCGTTTTTTTTGATAGGTTACAGAAACTTTATTTATTTATTTTTTTGAACTGTAACGTAAAGTATTTCATTAATCAAAAAGCATATACAAAGAAACCCCTGTACAATGAGAAACTGAACAGAAGATATACAGATTTGCCCATAACACCCAAACAAAACCCCAAAAAGACATCCATTCCTTACAAAAGGAAGATCAAACTCGGAAAAAGAGCTAACATGTCTGGATCTAAATGGAGGATGGACAGCCAGACAAGAATGAACCATTCCCAATATTTTGCTCAGAATTTCTTCCTTTGAGTGCCGATAAAATAAGGTAACTACAAAGCTAGAAAACCCAATATATAAGCTGGACTAGCCACCGATCCATATTTGTAGTCTTACATCTGAGCCCAAAACATTCATTCCCCTTGAAGCCCTTGTTTTTCCATGGCATTTGATGATCTTTGCACCCATTGAAAAGTTATAGCTGCCTTCCTAGCCAACCAATTTATCTCCCTGATTACTTGTCTATATTCTATACTGCCACATTATCTTGCTGTTCTGTTTTTTGATCAGTCACATTAGCTTTCTGTTGTTCCTAAGCCAGCTAATTGCCACTGTAGAGTCTCCTACAACTACAATGTTATTCAAATTCAGTTGTCTTGCCAACCTCAAACCTTTTAAGACGGCTAGCACCTCAACTCTTATTTAGTTCCCACTTCCACTGCCAATAGGTCAGAATACAATGTTATAGTCAAGCCATTGACATCTTTAAATACCTCTCCCACCCCTAAATCCCTAATGGACTTGGATTGTCAAGACTGCTTTCATCAATGTTTTAATTTATGTGTTCGCCTTGAGGTAGTTGCACTGCCTTGGTACACCGCCCTTTTAGATGATGAACTAGCACCACTCTCCAATCTATAAAAATGTTGTCTATGGAAAATGGGACAAAGATGTCCATAGTTTTCAGCCAATGTACCACTTTAATTTTAATACAGTAGAAAATAGCTTCCTTGGACTTACGTTTCCTGTTAAAGATCCTTGCATTTCTCTCCTCCCAAAGAATTGCAACTGCAATTTCCACCTTTTCTGGATATTGGTTTTATGGGCTAAATGCGTCCACCCCGCCTTTGGTATTCTGAGTTATCAGGTTGTCAAACTTCTAACTATGACTTAAAAATATCATTCTTTAATGGCATTTTGAAGAATCAGATAAGTGGAATTGTAATTATAGTAAAGAATTTCACTTGCAATCGTCTTGATTATTCTGATCTTGTTAGTAATTATAGTAAAGAATTTCACTTGCAATCGTCTTGGACCTCTTGGTTATTCAGAGCTTGTTAGGGCAGCATTTGAAACCTGAATGAGAAACAATCAGCGATAATACTTTTATCCAGCATCATTCACATAATAAACTATGTGAAATGCCAATGTATTTTGAGTTAGAAGATCAGTCCATTATCAAATGGTTCTTGTAACATGGTTGCCTTGTGAATGACAGGAAAAATCTAGTATTATTTACCTTTCAAGCATTCTTTTGGGTTTAACCCTTGTTAGATTGTTGCACTGGAAGTCAGTTGTGAAAGGTGAGTTTCTTTCCAGTTCTTTATATTTGTAAGTAAGAGAATCATTCGGAGTTTTAGTTAATGGATGATGTCTCATTCATGATTTTGTTTTAGAGACACTCATGCAAGACTGGCATGTATTGCTTTTCTATTTGATGCAACATGTACAGAACAAATAAGGAAGTTCATTATTGATATGCACTGATAAAGAGTAATGGTAGAGCCATATTTTGTTTAGCTGATTTAGACACAACTTTAATAAGGATTAATTGTGTTGAGTATTGGATTAGTAAACTAGGAAAGATAGGATTAGAAATGGGTGCATTTGTGCGGATCTCAGAGTAGCCCTAACATGAAATAAAATGTAGAGAAGTACAGTGGCATTTGGAAGTCCGAAATATTGCCACTTTGTTTATACCTCTGATAGGCTAACTTACACCTGAAACTTGGCCTTGATTAATGAGTGATTGAATCATCATGAAAAGTAGAGTAAGGTGACACTTAGAAGTCTGAAATATTGTCACTTACATCTGAAAGACTGAAACTAATCAGATAATTGGTTATCCCTCTTTTGTTTCTTTGTTGCACCTCTGATAGACTCACTTGTACCTGAAACTTTACCCTGATTAATAAGTGATTGAATTACCACTTATCACTTATTAGTTAAACACATGTTTTCCCTTTACCCTTTTGTTCTTTTAAAACTTCCATAATGACAAGAATACCCCTCAGATTGCATGTTTAAAGGGATGAAACTCTAATAGCCACTTTATGCTCGCAAATGCCACCTAAGATGGTTAGGGCATGTGCAGGGTAGAATACCAGCTGCACTAGTAAGAAGACTTGATACAAGCTCATAGTGATAGAGGGGTTAGGGGAAGGCCAATAAGGACATGCAATGAGGTAGCAAAGAAAAGAGATAGCCCCTGGTAGAGTGGAATGGTGGAATAGATTTTGTGTAGCCAATCCTATATTTTTTGGGATAAGGCTGTTATAAGTTGAGTCAAGTACTTGATTCATATTTATTTGCTTCTTAAAAGGAATCGTTAGAAAAGTTCTATATGGCTGGCTTTGTGCTGTTGTCTGAAGTTTTATTGTTTGCCATCCTGTCTTTGTGTTCTAGTCCAAGGTTCAAAGTATTGATACATCCAATACGCATGAACTTGCATATCAGGTGTTTCAAAGGGCATGCTTCTCTTGTTTTTTAGTTTTCTTTTTCAAAATTTTTCAGAGGGTCGGTCTTAGGCCTGGCTACCCCATGAAAGTGGTCAAACCCCAAAACCCTTTTATTTAGTGTATCAGTACCCCAAAGATACAATATCAATACTTTGAACCTTGTTCTACTCTTTTGCCTTCTTTAAATTAGCACTTATGATGGCTTGATAGTAAAATACATTTATCTGCTTATTCTTATATAACACTGTCAAATGCTTTCTGTTTTACTTGTTATCATTCCTAAGCATAAAATCCTTTATAAATATTCCAATTTCATTGATATTCTTATAATTTGGTAATTGACTGTTCATCTGTTTTGTAAGAAACCATCTTATTATCCTATAAATTTGTTTTATTTTTGTGAAACAGAGTCTGTTGTGATTATGCCTGCATTCGGAGTACAACTTGAAACACACTATGGGAGGTATTTCTTCTATATCCTAGAAGCTATTTTGTATGCGGAGTAATTTGAATTATTTCTTCTTAATATACTTGAGAAATCTAGGTATAGCACTTGTCTGCATCACCATATTTGTCAAATATTAGTAGTTTGCTATCATCATTCCCTTTGAAGCTTTCCTACTAAGCTAAAGTTATGTTCACTAAGCCTTTTCCTTTTA